TGATTTAGTGGCCCTTCCTATGAATTACAGGCTTCTAGAGTTTGCCAAGTTTACTGGTCAAGATAGCACAAGTACAATAGAACATGTCAGTCGATATCTTACTCAGTTGGGTGAAGCCTCTATTGAGGATGCGTATCGAGTTTGTTTCTTCTCTTTGTCCCGGTCAGGACCAGCCTTCACTTGGTTATCATCACTAGCGGTTAATTCTATTGCCAATTAGAGTGATCTTAAAAATAAATTTCATACATATTTCTACACTGGAACAGGGGAAAGAAAGATCACAGATCTGACAACTATAAAGTAGAGAGCTAAAGAATCGGGTGCTGAGTTCCTTCAGAGGTTTCGAGAAACAAGAAACTTATGCTTTTTGTTGAATTTGACTGATGATCAGCTAGCTGCATTGGCTGTTCAAGGAATGTTGTTAACATGGAGAGAAAAGTTACTTGGGCAAGAATTTGACAATTTAGGTCAATTGGCTCAACGGGTGGCAGCACTTAAAAGTTACTTAATAGCTAACATAGAGAAGAATGCTGCAATCGCTGAAGCTTATAATCCATATTTAGTTGATGAGGATGATGAAGAAGGGGAAATTGCTGCAGCTGAATGGATTTGGGGTAAAAAGATAGTAATAGTTCCAAATCCTTAGGAAAAAGAAGTTGAAGAGAATTATGATTTTGATGTTACAAAAGCAGACAAACTTTTTGATTTCTTGCTTGAGAAGGGACATATCAAACTGCCTGCCAATCATGTTATATTACCTCCCGATCAGTTGAAAAATAAGAAGTTCTGCAAATACCATAACACTGCTTCTCATACTACAAATGATTGCAGAATTTTTCGATAGCATATTCAGAGGGTCATTCAACAAGGGAAGCTTAAATTTGATACAACTCAGAAAATGAAAGTTGATGATAATCCTTTCCCAAAGAATCAGAATATGATTGATGCTAAGTTGTTCAAAGGGAAAGCTAAAGTTTTAACATTAGCCAGGGCAAGAGAAACTGGAATAGTTGATCCGAAGATGTAAATATCGGCTGATGAATATAGAGAAATCAAAAGGCGTCGTCACCAACAAAAGAGCTGATATGAGCAGGGAGAAACATCGAGAGATGGTGCGATGAAACCACGTGTTACATCTCGAATTCTGTTGAATAAATGGCAATGGCACAAGGAGAAAGATTATCAGCGCTGGTTAGAAGAGAAGGAATATCAATGTCAATAAGAAGAAGAGAGATATGAAAGAGAACAAGCTGAGTCACATTGGAATTGCCCTTTCTTCAGATATTGTTGGAACGAAGGTTTGAGATTGCCTACTAGAAATAATTGCTCAGAACGTAGCGAACAATATTGGGAGTTTAGGCAATCTCAAGTCAACCACCGGTATATCCTTGATCGAATTGAAAATCAACGTAATGATGTGGATAGGCGCTTAAAAAATAGAAGCATTCATAATCGGCTTGGAAAGCAAGTTGTTGATCAGGACTGGGCCAATTATGAGAAAGAAGATGATGAATAGTATGTTTGGTAGGAAGGACAGTGGTATCCAGGAAGTTTAACAAGAAGTCAGAAGAGAAGAGTACAATGCCTAAGGAGCAGAGAATTAGAACAAGCTCAGAAATCTAAACCGCAAGTATGGCGTGCTAAACAAACAACCGATAAGGGTCAACCATCGGCTAATATTCAAATGTTTTTTACCATCTGAATTTAAAGCTCCAGCAGATCAAGAAGTTTATTCAGACTTTGATGAATCGAAGTATGAAGAGATGACAACCCAGTTGACATTGGTACAACAAGCTATATTTGATAAACCAATTAAGCATCGGCATTTGAAGGCTTTATATGTGAAAGGTTTTGTCGATGGGAAGCCGATGAGTAAAATGTTGGTTGATGGAGGTGCTTCTGTTAATGTGATGCCTTATGCTACTTTTCACAAGCTTGGTAAAGGACCATAGGATTTGATTGAGACTGACATGATGCTTAAGGATTTTGGGGGTAATGCGTCTAAGACCAGGGGGACAATAAATGTTGAATTGATAATTGGAAGCAAGACTTTGCTCACTATATTCTTTGTCATTGATGGAAAGTGTTCATATAATTTGCTCATTGGTCGTGATTGGATTCATGCCAATTGTTTTGTACCATCGACTATGCACCAATGCTTGATTCAATGGCATGGAGACAATGTTGAGCTAGTTTATGCTGATGATTCTGTGAGTATAGCAACAGCTGATCCAATGTATTGGGAACTAGAAGATTTTGAGTGTTTTTCTGGGAAGCGATGTGAAGGAGGCTTCATTAGGATCAATGATGAAAGCCAACAGCAGATCCGAGCAGTCGGCTCTAAAAGTTTGTTTTAATGGATAATCCAATAGATTGTACAGATAGTAAACTAGAACATGGCTTTACGTCGGCCGATAAGTTAGAAGAAATAGATATTGGTTCTGGAGATAGGCCTAGGCTGACGTATGTTAGTGCTAAATTAAATCCTGAGTATAAACAAGAATTGATATTGTTAAAGGAATTTAAAGATTGTTTTGCTTGGGAATATTATGAAATACCTGGTTTAGATCGGTCAATTGTTGAACATCGGTTGCCAATCAAACCTGGATATCAACCATTTAAACAAGCTCCAAGAAGATTTAATCCAAATGTTCTTGATAATATTAAGAAGGAGACTGAAAGGCTATTAGAAGCAAAATTTATTCGACCTTGCCGATATACAGAGTGGATATTGAGGGTAGTTTCTGTGTATAAGAAAAATGATAAGTTAAGAGTCTGTATTGATTTCAGGGATTTGAACAAGGCTACACCGATAGATGGGTATCCGATGCCAATAGCCGATATGTTGGTAAATGCAGCGACTGGGCACAAGGTAATTAGTTTTATGGATGATAATGCAGGTTATAATTAAATTTTTATGGATGGGGAAGACATAGCAAAAACAACCTTTAGGTGCCCCGGTGCAATTGGCTTATTTGAATGGGTTGTAATGACTTTTGGATTGAAGAATGCTGGTGCAACTTATCAGAGGACGATGAATTATATTTTCCATAAGTTGATCGGCAAGATTGTTGAAATCTATACACTTGTGCCGAGTTTGTGGACCCCTTCTTTTTAATGTATTTAAATTTTTTTTTGCATTTACTTTAATTTATTGCAACTTGTATGCCTTTACTTGAATGGAGTAGCTTGATAGGTATTTAGCTCTAGGTTGAAATTTTCTTTACTTATGTGGGAGTAGTCGATAGATATTTAGCTTTAGGTTGAAAATTTCTTTGTGGCAATGGGTAGACACATTAAATAAGCCATAGAACACATCGAGATAGACCTAGACCGATTTATCTAAAGCAAAGTTTGTTTTAGTACAAGCGTATAGGTAATCTTTAAGGATGTATTTGGTTGAGAGCGAGGTAGAATGGAATGATTCCATTCTTGATTTCAGGGATGGATGGTTTCATTCTATTGTTTTTTAGGGGATGGAACATTTCCATTTTGTTGTATGGTTGGATGGATGGGAGGAGGATAGGATGACAGATCTGTTAGGTCACCATAAGTGTGGGTCCTATATGTCAGTCAAGTCATATACCTTATCCTCTTCTCCCGCTTCTACAGGAATCCGCAACTGCCCCATCTTCGCCTGCGCTCTCTTCTCCCGCATCCACAGGACCGTCTGCAGCCGCCCCGTCTCCTCCTACGCTGCGCCTCCACCGATTTCGCCCTTCGCTCAATCACCTCTCGCCGCCACTAGCCACCTCCAATCTAACACTGCCCCACCCGGCTGTCTCTGCGTGCGTTGCCCGGTCGTGCTGTCTCTGCCCATCCTAGCCGTTAGCACCGACCAACCATGGTCATGGTTCCACTCACTCTGGCTTTGGGTCCGGCTGTCTTCTGCTGATGCACGCGAGAGATATGACGTGAACGCCGTTCGAGTGGAGCGAGAGCTCGTCCGACTAATTTTCTGGAACGAGCTCGCTCCGAATCCGAGCGAATATTCGATGGTGGGGAGCTGTTCCATCCATTGGTTCCTCAACCAAACACCGATAGGAACGGATCGGAACAACCAAACAAACTATAATAGTCGTAGCTCAACCTCGCTCACTACTACTATCCGGGCCCATCAAGTCGCTGTCCGGCTACGATCAGACTAGCCCACTTGAACGGATAGCCATGCAAGCACGCAATGACTTTTAAGAGGAAAAATGGATTGCAGGATACTAATAGTGTTGTCATTTCAATTTCTCGATGCAAATTTTTCTAACAACAAAAAAGTTGAAAATAGTCCAAGTTTTCTTATATAAATTAAGATCGGAAGATTTATCCTTAGCTTGTTTTCCATGATAGGAAAATACACAAAATTAAAACATATTTCGTTCAGCCGAACACGTGCAAAAGTCATAGATATATGCGGATAGTTGAAAAGGCAAACGGTGCCAGTTAGTCATATTACATTCCAAACCTCATCGGATTGTCTACTTTTTATATTATATTAAACCTCTCGGCTAATCCGACTGAAGTAGATTTTGATTTGTACATAAACGGTCTACAGATTGATGGTATTTAATCGATTAAACACAAACAAATCTACTATATTGTTACTTTTATTTTTCAAACTCTACCTTTCCAACCTACGTACTTACTATTCTACAGGTATCATCTCGACATGATGTTTGTGGATGTTTTAGATGGCTTGCCGACTCTAGAACAAGCTTAATTAGGTGCGCCTCCCGACATATTCCTTCTTGACAGACATTATTCTTAGATTTTCACGGGCTCTTTACGAAAACCGGCTAAGCCGACCTCTAAAACCAACTAGGCCGCATTCTCTTGAGTTCGCTGAGACGATCTTCGTGTAACCTGAGCATTCTAACTCTTTGGATATGCATCCTTCTATTGAGAGAATAATTACAATTTAGTCACAGACTCATCCGATGGACACAGGTTCCATCATAATGCAAGGATGAATCTAACCAACTAAGCTACGACACTTAGCTCACCTCTACATGGACCTAACCAACAGGTCATGATAATTTCTCCCATCATTCTAACTGAAACTTCTTTTTTGGTTTTTCTACCTGCCAATGCAACCATATATATAACAATCAATGCCACACGTACTTATTGGGTTGACAAACAAGTTACTAAAGTTCCTAAAGTTACTCGTTTGCATTTCCTCTGCATCCAAGACGAAGGCAACATGCATATTGATTGCCCGTTACTTCCAACGTCTGACAGCAAAAACTGCTTGATTGCAGTTGAAATTTCTAGGGATTCTTTATTTATTATTAGCAGATAAGGAGAATCTTCCTTTTATATGCTGATTATAGTCCTAATATACCCTATAGTCATCAAAACAAAAAAAGCTTGTCTTGTGCTGACGAAAAAAATTGCATTTCAGCAATAAAATAAAATCCATCAGATTAATGAATGCCCAATTAAAATGTGCTGAGTTCACCTGTGCTGTTAATCTGTATTTTTTTACTATTTTATTTTCATTAGAACTGAGATCATAAAAGCGATGAATACAGATGTTCAGTTTTTTTTATTTTACTCAATTATTTTACTTTATTTAGAATAGGAGTTAGAGGGAGAGATAGATAGTTTTCTTTGACATCAGATGCAACTAGCTAGAAACAAAATTAAGATGTACTTGTCCGAGCTCTAGTGCTCTACAAAGGGTTTCATTATGGGGTATCTTTGTGTTATAATGTTTCCTCTCTTCTCCTTTTGTCTAGATTTGATTCGCTGCGTTCTTTGACTAGTGTTCTAGATATTGGAACTCCACAGAAAAAGGAATACTTTCTTTGTGCAGAAACTCCCAGCGCTGCAAGAGCATGGGTATCCACTTTACAGTAAGCTTTGATAATCTACGGTTCTTGATTATATTTATCTTTTTAACTTTTGTATTCCCTGAAACCGGTTTTATCCTGAACCATGAGTTTTGCATTACTGTTGGATTATCTCTTCCCTGCCACTGGACTGACTAAGATTAAATGAACATTAATTGAATATATGTTGAATCTGCTATTTGCACTTGTACAACTGGGTCTATAGTGGGTTGCTGTTTGATTTGTTCCTGTAAGTGTCAGTATTGGCAGAACTGAAAAGAGGGGAAAAAAATAGAAAACCATATTAGTGGACTACTCCCTTTGTCCTGGATCCTAGATATTTAAGACCGATTAAGAGAAATTTCAAAAGACCCATGCATCCTTGACTTGAACTCTGCTATTTAGTTGATGCATAGATGGTGGCTGTGGTTGGTGAATTTAGAGAAGGCCTTGCTCAACTACTGCACACATGGACCTGAGGAGTGCCGCTGGGTCACCTAACCGTTTGAACTATTTCAAGCTAAGGTTAAAAAAATCCCCTCGCCCGTCCCCATGTGCCAAAGCGCAATGGAAGGCTCCGGCCCGCTTCTCACAGGGTTACGGCACCTCCTGCGTCAGGATTGGGGTTCGGGGGTTTTCTCGATCTGTGTGAGAAGATCTTCTTCTTAGTAAGAAAACCCGGGGGCCGTCATAATCCCCCGCAGGTCGAGTTTTTTTTTTCAACTACCGCACACATAATGGCAAATCACGCAATTTTTTACGGGTAGGTTTATTTAAATGGAAATTCATGCAATTTACTCATTAATGAAAACATTTGAATGCTTTGATCCATTGTATTCTAGGATGGAGGGAGTAGACTTTCATGTGTAAACACTAGAATTAGCAGATGTGAAACTCCGTGTAAATATGCTATTAAATTTTGCTCTATTTGGTGCTCTACTATGGTATTCTCATTAGCTGACCTGGATCACTGCTCACCACTTCCCCAATGATTAGAAAAGCTTCCTGTAAATAGTTAGTGCTACTGGCGCTCTTGTTCCAAAGTGAAACAAAGAAACAGTTGCTTGTAGCATCTTGCAAAGCAAAGGGTTTCATTTGGTTCCCTCATTGATAATGTTACTTGGTTGCCCATTTATCAGAAAAAGAACATGATGAAACATGTCATGCATAATGTGCTATTAAATTAATGCAGTATAACGTATAACTAGGTTATGGCTTTACAATAGACTCAGTAAATATAATATCCCTTCCCTTAAATTTCGTTTGGTTGATGTATGATATGTTCGATGTGCACAGATCTATCATTTCCCATTTTGTGTACTGCTGTTATATCTGCAGACCTTGAAGCCTAGTAATATTTTCTTGCTTCATATGCAGTGCGACTCAGTTGGTACTACAGGCTCATAAGGAGGCTGTGAATTCATTGGGTGAGAATGGTCCTGCAAAATTGGGAACAGTTGCAACTATTGTGGCTGTAGCCAATGCCACGGCAATTGAAGCAACAAAGGAGGTACAGGCTGCAATGAAGATTTCCCTGCGGGCAACTTTGGGCTCAACTACAAATAAACTTACCAAAGGCCAATTAGATGATCTCACAATAATGATGGTATACTCTTCCATATACTACTTGTACATAAGAGTACCTGAATTACTATTCAGTAATTGAGCAGTGGATGCTAGAATTGCTGATGTAATGTACATAGGACTGTGCTCCAAAAACCAGCAAATGGTGTGTCCTATAGACTATAGTTGCTGAAACCATTTATGCACTATGAGAAGCTATACTACTTTGTATAGATGATAACTTTTTTTTTTGCCAAATCAACAAAAATATTGCTAAATCAACAGGAATTTTGTCAGTTACCAGCCAATTTCCTGGCATACTAAATTTGCTGCAACCAACAGGAGATATATATTCCCTTTCAGCACCCTGTTGCTATAGCTGGATTACATGACAACAATACTTCATAAAAGTTCACTGACTGACTGAAAACTGATTTGTAATCCTTTGATGCAAAAGTTGATAATGAACTTATCATCTATAATAAAACATTTAAAGCTCATATGATGGATAACTTTATTGTAGTCTGTCTTTCAAAGCGATACTTCTAAAACATAAAACTATAATATGCTATAATTTGATGATTGGATACTGAAATTGTTTTCTTGTTTCTATTTTTCTGGCAATGGCAATGCATCTGCGACCAACAGGAGACCCTTCGAGTTAAAGATGACGAACTCCACCAGTTGTTGCAGGATATTCGTGCACGTGATTCTACCGTCAATGAAATTGCAGAAAAGTTACAGGAGACTGCAGAAGCAGCTGAAACTGCTGCTTCTGCAGCACGTTCAATTGATGAAGAGAGAAGATTTTTTACGTCAGAACTTGAACGTCTGAAACAAGACCATGAGAAACAAGTTGAAGCATCTTTGCTTAGGGTAACAATCGCATACAGTACACATATCTTCTAATGCTTATTAGTTAAAGTGTTATAGACTAGATTCAGACCACCATGAGAATGCTTCATGTCAATGAAAATATTTGAACTTGTCTGTATTTTTGTTTCAGTTAAGGGAATTGGAGGAGAAAGCAAAGCTTCTTGTTGAAAAGAGAGATCGTTTGCTAACAGAGAGATTCTGCTCTTCAAGAAGCTCAGATGTGGCGCTCAAAACTAGGAAAAGCTAGAGGAAATGCTGTAATTCACTAATTCTAGAAGCAGCTGTTGTCAGAGCTGAAGAGAAAGCTAGGGTCTCAGCAGCTGATGCTGACATCCGCATAAAAGAATCCATGAGCCGATTTGAGTCTGCCATCAAAGAAAAGGAGGATCTCCTAGCCCTTGTGGATGCTCTACAATCTCAAATACAAAGGTTTGGCGTCTATAATTCTATTTGATTTACTTTTGTTTTCATCCAGTTGCAAGTTTCTCAAACTAGATTCTTTTAGAGATAGCTTAATGGGAGATTACATGTTTTCCAGGCAAGAGACTAGCACAATACAGGTTTGTGAAGAGAGCTCGGAGCTCTGCACTACTGCTTCGAAGCACAAGGAAGACGATAATGTTGATAAAGCTTGCGTAAGTGATACAGATCCAATACCAGTTACGGAGAACATTGTTGAGTTGGACGACGAGGGAGTTGATATCCCTACAGTCGGGGACACTGAGTGGGATAATCCCCATTCTTCTGAAGTGTCTGATGTAAGGGAAGTAACCACAGAACCTGAAGAAAACAGCTTGGATATTCCTGTTGATACTTGATGGCCAACCTTTTTGTGAGAATTGCTTAGTGTTGACCTACGGGATCACCGGCTGACGACAGTGAACCAGTCTCCAGACCACTAGTCCCCAGACCACTAGTCGCAGACCCCTGGCCTCCAGACCACTAGCCGTGCCGACCAGTAGCCTCCAGACCACTAGCCGTGCCGACCACCGTACCGGCTTTGTCCGTACCCATACACTATGGATCGAGTTAGAAGAAGAAGGGAGAACAGAGCAAGCACGCACAATACAAGACAACAACGTTGGCCGAGGCCCTGTCTGTGTGATGGCAAATCTGAGCTCTCTTTACTGAGTTGCCTTGGTGCCCTATTTATACAACTCTATCTATCTAACTAAAGTACAACGCACATGCTGTAACAGTAATTAGATAAGCATACAAGGCTGACTCTGCGCCGGCCACTGCATGTGCCTACAGTGCTGCAGGTGAGCCGTGCGGCGCCTGCACCTGTAGCGGCTACAGTATCACAGTAGGGGGCAAAGTCGGCGCCGCCTTCCTCTGCTGTGTTCACACAAGGTGGCAGTAGATTAGCTAACAATCTTCCCATAATCCTACTGCTAACCCTTGCACCCCCTCCATATCGATCATCTCCTTCAGCTCCGTGAGTCGAAGTCGTTCGAGCGGCTTGGTGAGGACGTCCGCGAGTTGTCGATCAGTTTCGACAAACTCGATGACGATCTGCCCTCTATCAACACAGTCCCTGAGGAAGTGAAACTTCACGTCGATGTGTTTACTCCGGTCGTGCAGAACCGGATTCTTTGCGAGGGCGATGGCAGGCTGGTTGTCCACCATCAGTGCTGGTGGTTGAGCTTCCACGCCGGTTAGCTCGCCCAGCAGCCGGCGTAGCCACACAACTTGGCACGCCGCTGTGGCCACCGCTACGTACTCTGCCTCGCACGTAGATAGCGCTACCACCTTCTGTTTCAGCGACAGCCATGAAATTGGGGCTGACCCGAGGAAGACGAGTATGCCAGAGGTGCTCCGTCGTCCGTCGATGTCCCCCGCCATGTCTGCATCGCTGAACACCGTGAGCCGCAGCCTACTTCCCTCGGTCTTTGGGAAGATGATTCCATGATTCACCGTCCCCTTGACGTAGCGTAGTAGCCGTTTCACCGCAGCCCAGTGATCCTCTCTGGGATCCTCCATGAAGCGACTGACGTAGCCCACGGCGAACGCAATGTCCGGCCTTGTGTGGACTAGGTAGCGCAGACCGCCGACGATGCTCCGGTAGAGTGTTACATCCACTTTCGCCGCGGTGCCGTCCTTCGTCAGCTTCAGCCGCTCCTCCATCGGAGTCACGCATGGTTTGCACTCCACCATGCCGCTCCTCTCCAACAGTTTGGAGGCGTACGCGCTCTGCCCGAGCGTGAGTTCCTCCTTTCCTTGCGTCACCTCGATGCCGAGGTAGTAGGAGAGTGCGCCGAGATCGCTCATTCGAAAACGAGCTGCCATCTCGCGCTTGAAGCTATTGAGATCCTCCGTGCGTGCGCCGGTGACGATTAAGTCATCCACATACACGCCGACCACGAGCTCTTCCTTCCCCCATCGTCACGTGTAGAGCGCGTGCTCGGTTGCGCACCTCTGAAATCCAAGCTCGCCCAGCGTGGTGTCAAGCTTGGCGTTCCATGCTCGAGGGGCTTGCCGTAGCCCGTAGAGCGCTTTGCACAGTTGGAGCACCCTGTGCTCCTCTCCCTTGACAGCGAACCCTGGAGGTTGCCTGACGAAGACTGTTTCTGCCAGCTCGCCGTTGAGGAAGGCTGATTAAACGTCCAAGTGATGGACGCGCCATTCCTTTGCTGCCACCAAAGCAAGTAGCAAACGGACCGACTCCATGCGCACTTCTGGCGCAAAGACCTCCTCGAAGTCGATGCCCTCGCGCTGGACAAAGCCTCGGGCGATGAGGCGCGCCTTGTGCTTGACGATGGCACCGAGCTCGTCCCTTTTGACTTTGTACACCCACTTCAGGCTGATCGGACGGCATCCTGGGGGTGGATCGACGAGCTGCCAAGTCTCATTTTCCTCGATCGCCTTCATCTCCTCTAGCATTGCCCGTCGCTAGTTTCCATCGTGCTCGGCTAGCGCGAACGTGGGTGGTTCCTCCGCACTGACGAGTAGCAGCTCTGTGTCGTTGAGCAGCCTAGCTGCCAGTCCTGAGGGACCTGTGCCGCCGACGATATCGTCCAGCCTACGGAACCTCAACTCCTCCCCTAAGTGGTAGGCGTCCACGAACTCAGTGGTATCACTTGGAGGTGAGACGAACTCGATCGGGGGCGATCGAGTTCCTTCTTCCGCCGAAGTGCCCTGCATAGCACCTGAAGTGCTCGGCACTTCTTCTGGACTGCTCATCATAACTCCTGCAGTGTTCGGCCACACTGTAGGAGTGCCCAGCCTCAGTCTTGGAGTGGTCGGAACCACAGTAAGACGTCTTGGCTCCGCTACGGGAGTGCTCGGCATCCGTCCTGAAGTGGTCGCCACCACTACAGAACCTCCTGGCTCCACTCCTGGCGTGCTCGGCATCCCTCCAGAAGTGCACGACACTCCTCTCGGAGTGCTCGGCATTGCCCCCGAAGTGCTCGGCACTGCCCCAGAAGTGCTCGACTCTACCGCCGGAGTGCTCGGCGCACCTGTTCCGCAGCGTCTCCACCGTTGTGGATGACCAAGTGCTCGACGACGAAGGTTTTGGTGAAGCCTCCCGCTTCCCCCGTGCTCGAACTGTTCCAGTCCCAAGCTGCGTCCTCGTTGAACACACCATCGCGCGAGACAGTCACCATGTCTCCGCGAGGGTCATAGAGCCGGTACACCTTGGTACCCTCCGCGTAGCCCAGGAACACCATGGGTGTGCTCCTGTCCTCCAGCTTGGTGAGGTTCGGCTTCGTTTTCCTGACGTGGCCGATGCAACCGAATGTCTGGAGGAATGACACGTTCGGCTTGCGCCAGTACCAAGCTTCGAACGACGTCTTGCCCGTTAGGGCCTTGGTTGGAGCGCGTTTGAGGATGAACATCGCCGTGGTCACCGCCTCTCCCCAGAACTTTGCCGACATCCCTTTAGCCTTCATCATGGATCGGGCCATGCCGACCACTGTCTGGTTCCGTCGCTCCACCACGCCATTCTGTTGTGGCGAATACGGCGCGGTGTGATGTTGCCCCACACCTTGATCCGCGCAGTACGTAGCAAACTCCACCGAAGTGAATTCGCCATCCCGATCAGTCCTCAGTACACGGAGCTTCTTGCCGCTCTCGGCCTCCGCGCGCGTCTTGAACTTCTTGATCGCCACCGCCGCTTCGTCCTTGCTCGTCAGGAGTTGCAGCCACATGTAGTGACTGCAATCGTCCACGAGCAGGAGGAAGTACCACCGACCACCGCATGTAGCAGGCGTGATCGGCCCGCAGAGGTCATCGTGAACTAGCTCAAGAGCTTCCTTCGCGCGATACTTGGCCACCTTTGGGAAAGGTAGCCTCCTCTGCTTCCCGGCCAGGCAGCTGTCACACAGCTCGCCTCCGTGTTTGATGTGGGGTAGCCCTCGAACCATCTTCCCCAGCCGACCAAGCGCGTCGAAGCTGAGATGTCCGAACCGGGCATGCCATATCCACGGCTCCTCGGAGTGCCTTGCCGCCAGGCAGACCGACTGCTCTACCTTTAGGTCGAGCAGGTACAACCGGTTCAGGGACCTCTTCACCTTGGTTAGAAGTCGCTGCTCCCGGTCTCTGATCCTTAGAATGCCGTCCTTGATCAGAACCTCGCTACCGCGCTCATCCAGCTGACCAATGCTGATGATGCTGGAACGCAGCTGCGGGATGTAGTATACATCCGTTAGCGCGCGGTGCTCCCTGTTCTGGCATCTGAAGATGATGGTGCCTTGCCCTTGGATGGCCACCCTTGAGCCGTCACCTAACTTCACCGTACCGGTAACATCACCGTCGAGCTCGGAGAAGGAGTCCTTGGAGCCCATCATGTGGTTACTGGCACCAGAGTCCAGATACCACCGCTGCTCCTGGTCGGCGCCCACATGCCTGAGATGGACTTGGGCGCGTGGTTCGTCGAGGTTGACGGTCTTCAGGGCCTTGCTAGATCCTTCCACCGTTGTCGCCTCTTCCCTCTCCATGGCCTCGACGTCGTGCAGTGCACAGAACGTCGCCATAAGGATAGTGGCCTTATCCTCATCATCGGCTTTCGCCAGGTGAGCCTGAGCCTTCTTTTCCTTCTTGTGATTTGGGCACTCCCATGCCCAATGGCCCATCTTCCCGCAACACCGACAGGCGTTGGAGTCGATTTGCTTCTTCTCCGAAGAAGCCCTGCCGCGATGTTTGCCGTTGCTACCGCGACTGGAGGAGGCTACCTTCCCGGAGTTTCGCCGAGCAGCCCACTCCTCTTCCGTCAGCAGGAGTTTCCCGCTGTCCTTCGTTGCTGTCGTCTGCTCCAGGCGCTCGTCCACCGCCCGCAGACGGCCTGCCACATCCTCGATGGTGAGGGTGGACAAGTCCAGTATCGTCTCTATGGAGAGAGCGATCTGGATGTACTTTGTCGGCACGGAGTGGAGGAATTTGGAGACCGCCTCCTCTTCGTCGATGGTGACGTCGTGGCTCTTCAGCTTGCTGATGAGCGTCTGCAGGTGGAGGGAAAAGTCCTCCACTGTTTCCCCATCCTTGAACTTGAGGTTTGCGTACTCGCTTGTAAGCCGGGCGTGTCGCCTTCTTTTTGCGCTGGTCGGAACCGACGCCAAGACGCCGCAATGGCCTCCCACGCCTCCTTAGCTGAGCTTTTTCGTCCCCAATGGTTCCTCAGACTCACCGGACACAGCAGCGAGAGATAGCCTCCAACGCCGACATGTCGTCTTCTTCCACGTCGGTGCCCTTGTCAACAGCATTCTAGAGCCGTCGGGCTCTGAGCTTGACCTTCATGGTCACCGACCACTCTCCATAGTTAGTGCGAGTCAGCGTCGGCCAAGTGGTGCCGCTGACCTCCCGCACCGTGCGGACAACT